CGGAGTTCAGCAGGGCTCAAACCACTGATGACACAGACGGACACAGACAGAAGAGCTACACAGCTGACGCAGCACTCCATGGGTGAGTTTAATTAAACATTTTTACAAGACTTTATCCAAGACGTGTGCTTTTTATTTTCTGTTTTAAAGGGTAGCTAGTGGCTTCTAGGTGTTCTAAAGCACTTGCTGTGTGAAGCACGCTCTCTACAGATATGCAAGTCCTTCAGGTTGTAGTTCATGTCCTGTTTTTGTTTTAATGAACCAATTCTTGGATCCGGAGAGAAAAGCTACACAAAGTTAGGTAGACATGTCAGTGCTTTATTTAATCTCCCCAAAAATGATGCTGTTAGCTGATGACATGCCAACACTTAGCCTTGAATTCATGGCTGGCTAAACACATTGTTTATTCTCTTGTGTTTTGGATGTAAAACAGGTGATTTAAAAAAAATATATAAGACCATCTAGTGTTCCAATACCAAGTATCACTCATAATACAGATCCATGCACAGCACTTTGGCAGGCTAACTGGGAGGCGAGATGTGGGTGTGACGTAAGCGTTCTGTCATCCAATCCACACTAACATCCGAGCTCACAGACAGAAAGCCTTGATCCATACGGTTAATAACTTCAAAACAAATGCAGCGGGATATTTGTGTGACTTAAACAGCTGTCTATCTGCAGATTGTGCTTCACTAAATACGACATTGTGCTAAATACAACAAAAATAGACTTCAAGTGTAAAAAATGACACATTTAATAAAATGGAATATCTGTTTGTACATGTCACTGCCGTCAAAAACGGTTCTACAGTATAAACCCAAACACAACAGGCCTACCCTGCCAAAATATGACTGCATAATCACTACTGAATGGGGATATTGAATAGTTTGTGGTAACAAGGTTATAAAGTTCTGGTTTATATGGAGCCCTGTGAAGCCAGTTAGAGTGCAGGGTTGTGTGTTTCAGTGGCGATCATTCTGTTGCTGTCTCTTTTAAAAATGGAAGCCATATGTTTTGTGGCATAGGCCTTTTTTATCTACATGTGAATGTTAAGTGGTAAAATGTATTGAGGGTTGGATTTAACTCATTAAACTCTGCTGCGCCAATATAAAGCGGTTGATTTATTCATAAACCCCAGCAGGCTACTTTTTTATATACAATTCAAATGAATATGAGCGTGTAAGTTACTTTTTAGGTTGGGGAATAGTGCGTAACAAAATAATCTAAGCTCTCAAGTCCACTTACTATTTTTCTGAGCTTTCAGCCACGTCAAACTGTGGAACGTCAGTCATATGATAACACATAGTTGTGTACTGTATTGGGATGGGAATCATCAGCCTTGTCTCTGTTCATAGACGTTAGATGCGGTCAACTGACTCCTGGTCAGTTAATGCTGTTCTGGTCTGGACAGTGTGTACAACAGTGTCACCATTGTTAAACAAATGTCGCCCTCCGGAATCTCTCTGGTGAAGTTAAAGCTTGGATAGGTAACATTGCAGCCTGATTATTAATGGCCAACAGATGTGAACCACCTGGACATACCAACTGATATTTACTCTGTGTAGTGTATCATCATGTAAGACATCCGCCACCCTGCATCTGAAACCCCTCACAATGTTCTCACAAAAAAACAATACGGTGTCCAATTTTTTTTGCATCTTTTTATCTAGTTTGATACGACATGTTTCCTCGATGTAAACATGGAGAAGCCAAGAAGAATGATTGAGGCAGGGTTCTCGTATCCTCCAGCTGAATCAGGTGGTTCTCTGTTCGAGGACAGCAATGCCATGGCCAGGTCACAATAAGAATGTATGTCTCTACGATGGCCTGATTTGACCTAGTGGCCATCTTAAAAGGCCAAAAATAATGTGTGTGCTACAGGTAGGAAAAGAGAGGAGGAAGTAGAGAGGGAGTAAAAATAACAGTATTAGGCGAGGTGGAAAAGAGAAGGGATTAAAAGGAAGGAAATAAAACAAAAGAGAAACTGTGTCCAGTTCCATCAGCAGAGCTCTGTCACCGCTAAACTGTTTGTAACTTTGAGGTTCATGCGTTGATGATTACTTCCTGTATTTTTCCATTTCTGTTTGTAAGAAAAAATGCAAGACAGATTTTTGTTAGAAGTTTGAGATTCTCAACAAGCATTGATGAAATGGAGAATGAACACCAGCAGGAGAACACCAGTGACTGCACTGCCAGCTGTCTTGCTGACAAACAGAGCGTGTGGTTTCATACTGGGCAGGTGGTTCACTGTAACAGGAACCAGTAGTCCTCACTAATATGGTAAATCATATATCACACTGAACACTGCATGTGTCTCTGCTGTGTGTTCCTGCAAATCTTCCTGGTGGGCTCATACTGTATATAGACGCTGTAATCTGAACTGAACCCTCACTGAACGTGTTTACCTTTATTAGTTTGATCATAGGTGATGTGTGATGCCAAAGCATATGTGGGTAACCAGCAAACTTGCCAGTCATTGCAGTAACACACTCATCAGTTAAAGACAAATAAAGCCGGAGGTACTTTTGCTTCAAAACTTTTGCTTTTGCTTCTTCTTTTTTGCAGCGATATGCTGCAAAAAACGATATTGGGTCTGAAAGTCAAAAATTGCTGGTTGAGGCTTTGTTTCCGCTTTTGATTTGAATGATCACCACTCCAGTTTAAAAAGAAACTGTAATGCCCAAATATGGGCCAGCAATTCTTTTCCAAATATGGAACCGACTGAACGATCAACCCCCTCCTGTTCAACATTTTAACAAGACTTTTTCTAAGAAGTGTGCTTTTTATTTTCAGTTTTAAAGGGTAGCTAATTACTTCAAGGTTTTCTGAAGCGCTTGCTGTGTGAAGCACGCTCTCCACAGATGTCCTGTTTTTGTTTTAATGGACCGATTGTTGGATCCGGAGAGATAAGCTGGACAACCAGAAAAGCTCGGTAGACAATGTCAGTGCTGAAGCAGGCTTTACTTAACCTCCCCAATAATGACACTGTTACTGTTAGTTTTACTTGACGTAAAAAGTAAAGAGCTGTAATGGCCAAATATGGGCCAGCAATTATTTTCCAAATATGGAATTCTTTAATTGACCTTGAAAAAGAAACTGACTGACCGGTCAACCCCCTCCAGCAACAATCTTAACGCAATCCAGCTGGATTTGAACAGGACGATTAAGACAGTATGCAGAAAGTACTGGGTACCAGTCTCTTCAAACTTCCGATCAAACTTCCTCTCAGTCAACCGCCGTACGCAAATACATCACAGTGGCTTTTTTTAAACTTCCATTTGACGAAGTTGATTGTCACCCATGTGCAAAACAATCTGAGAAACTGTGTGAGTAGTCGCTGATGATGATCTTTCCCAGGTGCTCCCATAGACGACCACATGATCGAGTTACGCAATGCAACCACACACAGACTGATTCATCTACCGTAGCGGGTTGGCCGAGCAACCCTAAATAAAGAAAAGTTACACAAGGAGTGACATAGCATAGCCTTTCTTAACACTTGTTTAGTTGACTCATGATAGCGTCATAAATCCTCACAAGGTACCCCACATTGAATGAGGCTTCTAATGCACCTCAATACCTTCTTAACAAACATAATGAGGCTTCAAAAAATTGACATGACACACATGAGAGGACTTTTTTCTATTGTTGTGTTTCTATCAAGTAGTTGTGGTTGAATCACACTAAAAAGATGCTCAAATTTGGCAATGGAGTGGCAATGGATTACATGAATAAAACTCTATCTCTATGAATAAATGTTGTCCCTTCCCTCCCACAACGATCGCATTCTGTTGCTTTATGGTGCCTGCTGAAAGCCATGAACAACCATTCTGTTAAAAGTTGCTGTAAAAAGGACTGTATTCCATCTGACACAGTCTCTGTTGGCCCTTAATGTCAAAGCTGTTGATTCAGCTCAGCAGCAGCAGCAAGAGAACCTGCTCTTTATGTGGTTTCAAAGCCTAACTTTAGTGTGACACCTCACACTAAAGTTAGACTTAGAGGTCTTGCAATCAAAATAAGACTTTGCGCTGCTGTGTTGTTCTTTGTAATTTAACAGAGGTCCACTCACATTGTGCAAATGGCAAAAAAAAAACTGAGTCGCTATTATGGTTTGAAGAGAAAGAAACTGTACAAATTTCATCACAGTGAGCACAATGTCAAAGTGGGTCAATTAAACGAACTGGACTCGCTGTTGTCTTCTCCACAACTGACAGTCTGCTCGGGATTCAGTATAAGACCACTGGTCTGCCAGCCTAATGACTCCATTCCCAGTTTTTAAGGATATTTATAAGTTTTATATGCTTTTAAAATGTTGAGGGTGTACACAAGATTGTTAGATGCATATAAGGCAAGGTAAATGTGTTTGTATAGCACCTGTCATTCAAAGTGCTTAACATAAGACAGAAAGGCAATAAGACAATACATACCAAAAAACACAAGGCAATATCAAAATACAAATATATTAACAGGATTCAAAAGGATAAAATAAAAATGTATGACTGGAGTCAACTAAAACAGAATAAGATGGATTAATAGGTAGAATACAATTACAGTGTAGTGCAGGACTGCAATAAGTCCGTCGGATCATTTCATTTGGCTTGGAAGAAATGATTTGACGGGATACCTACCTGTCTACCTACCTACCTGTGCGCTCTCTGCCTGAGCACTCATTGCTCTTCCCAAGCTGCTATCTTTACAGCTGTGAGCACTGACAATAGCCATGTTCATCGTTTCTATTCCTAATGGTTCTGGGGGAGTGGCTTTGGAGGGAGGTCTGAAGGGACTGGCTGTCAGTGCTGCTGACTTGGTGACTTTCTCAACACAGTCTCAACCCCTAACTCGTCAAATACCGACACTTGGTCAATGACCCTAAGCCCATGATGCTTTACGTACCCCTCTTGCATCAGTGTTGCACGTCTCAGCAACGGCATGTCAGTTTTCTACTAGTTTCATGCATAGTGTCTTTTCAAAACAGAGTTGCAGCACTCATTTCAGATCTCTTGCAGCCTAACGCAGGTGCGTTTCAGGTCATGTTTGTAACCATGTCGATAGAAGTGAATGTGTGTGTGTGTGTGTGTGTGTGTGTGTGTGTGTGTGTGTGTGTGTGTGTGTGTGTGGGTGCGTGTGTGTGTGGGTGCGTGTGTGCAGGACCTCTGTATTGTTCCACTCTTAAGGGACGGAAAGTCCCCCAGCCGCTTTCTCAGGTCCGCTGTGTCCGACTGTGCGAGGCATGTGTGTGTGTGTGTGTGTAGTGGTGTGGGTTGTATCCGGCAGCCAATCACATACTAGCTCTGAGGAAACAGGAAGGAACATGCTGCAGCCATGTCGACCAATGAGAAGTAGTAAAAGAGGAGGCTCTTCAGGAAACCACTGACAGAGTATCAGGGGTTCAGACCTCCAACAGACTTCCTTCAGACATCAGACCAACACGACTCATTGTTCTAACTTCCCGTCCGTCCATTACTTCATTTCATTTTTCCATTTCCAATCACTCTATTCATATTTACTTCAATCTTTCCTTCCATGTATCTGTATTCCTTCTAGTTTTTCCAAATCTTGCCAGTCTAATCCCTCTAATCTTGAATCTGCATCTCTATCCGCTCCATCCTCTGTCCGACCCTGCACCTGTCCGCCGTCGTTTAAAAAGTATGGTGGTAAATTGCGCCGTGCTGCCGCTGACATGTCTGCCGACATGTCCGCTCCATCCATGAGGAAGAAGAAGTCGTTTGCGCGGAGCTGCAAGCCGAGCGTCAGGATGTGTATTCGAGAACAGAGGGATTTCATGTAAGTTCAATCTTCACTCTCACACTTTGTGTTGTTGACTTCATCTTTTGTTGTTGGTCTCGTCTCTGATGTGCACTCGTTGTTACTTTATGTATCGATGTATTCTCAGAAAAGTTGACTCGTGGTTGTCCTTAACTGCCAGTTGTAAGACCTGTTCGTAGGTTGGTTTCTTTCTGTATCTGGGATAGCTTCTGGTTTCAGGAATCATCTAGTGGTTCTTTGTTATCAACGTAGGTGTGTGCTTTGCTAAAACCATTCCGCTGTAAGTTTACGTCATCTGTATTGGTAATTTTTGATTTGGTAAAGATTCTTCCTCTTTACAAAAGGTTAATGAAGCAACTGAAGGATTTCCTGTCTTGACCTGTTGATCAATACAGGTGAAGCCTGTACATTTTTGTTTGAGATTCTCCTCATTGAAGTTATCTTTCAATCTTTTCACATTACTATTTCTTCCTCTTGTGCGCTGATGCTGTTGACCCACATTGTTCATTTGATGGCTGCTATTTCTATCTTAGCACCTCTCAGTCTACAGTATTGAAAACCAGATCAGCCTTTTAGGAAGTCAGGTGGTCAGAAGTAAACACGCACGCATTTTCTCACAGCGCATCTGAAATAGTGGCATGCTGACAGCTTTCACCGGACGTGAGACTTTGCTCAAAACAGTACCGAGCGATGTCCATTTCAAGCAATGCCTACACTGCAGCAGCAACAGGGATACATACTGTACTTTATGTACTCCGTCAGTGTGCAGACAAACAGAAACACTGTATAGAAACTAAAATAATTCAACCTGGTCATTATTCTGAATCAGGCCTGATTACAGGAGGCCGAATTTCACCACATTGCAAAGTACATAATTTCACACACAAGTAGGCTGTGCAGTTGGTCATATCCTCATTTTAGATCTAGCAGATGTTTGTGGGCATATTAATGAATGGTCATAATTTTATTCTGTCCAGTTTAATCCAAAGGGAGCCGTTATCTCTAAGAGACCCACGTTGACCAGGTTTTTATTTTTTATTTTATTTTATACATCCTCTAAAGGTTAGAACCTGAGGATAGATTTGAGATAAAGCTCAGCGTTTTTTAAAGTTGTTCTAGTCATAGATCAGCATAAATCAGGAGGGCTTAAAGAGACAGGCGCTAAAACGGAGCATTTCCATTGTTTTATGAAAATTAAAGCATGCAAACATGTTCCAGTAGAAATCCAAAACACAAGTATGAAAATGAGCATGATATGTCTCCTTGAAGTCCTTGAAGACAAGAATTCATGTCTGAGATGTGAGCAGCAGGTTAATTGAGAGAAAATACTCTATCTATCACACTGTGGGGAGTTCACAGCTTTGCTTCCCACAGTTGAGACACATATTTGGGCAGACAATTGACATCTGTGTGACCACCAAAATACCTTTGAAGGTGCTACATTTAATTCTCCCCCTAACGCAGTGTCCTGCTTGAGTAAAGTACAAAGTACTCAAAACTGGAATATCTAAACAAAGCCTGAGGCAGGCATCAGACACAAATCACATCTGTCTGGTGGTTTTTCAACTCAAGGACACAAACATTTTATTTTCCAGTGGAGATAAGTCTCCACGATGGGGCTCCAATCATGTCAGCTGTCAGTTATTGCCATGGTAATTCCTCAGCAAGGTTCATTTACAGGAAATGTGTTCTCATTCTCGACCCTGTGTCGGGGGGAGGGAGGGTGGGCATGCCGTAAGAGCAGAATCTTAACACTCTCTTCCTGCCTCTGATTCGCTCTTTCTCTGCCTGTTTACAGATCTCTCTGTTTACTGTCCGAGTATTTTTCTTATCTTTGTGGTTTTTATTTCAGACAGATTTTCTTTCATCTTTGTAAAGTGTGTGTGTGTGTGTGTGTGTGTGTGTGTGCCTGCCTGCCTGCCTGCCTGCCTGCGTGCGTGTGTGTGTGGGTATGTGTGTGCTGAAAGGAATCCTTACTCTAGCCAGAAGTGTGACAGTTCCTGTGGAGTAGAATCACCATATTTGGACACAGGTAGTGATGATGCGTAGGGGACGCTGCTGGTACTATTTCAGATTTCAATAGCCCAGTTCTGCAGGTGTGTGTGTGCGTGTGTGTGTGTGTGTGTGTGTGTGTGTGTGTGTGTGTGTGTGTGCGTGTGTGTGTGTGTGTGTGTGTGTAAAGTAAAATTTAACATTCTGTTTCTGTTCTGTCTTTGTTTTTTTGAGAGAGAAACAAAGATTCCCAAACACTGTGAGTCACTTCACTTTATTAACGGTTAGTGTACAAACTAAAGGTATTTGGAAATAAAATCCAACACCAAAATCACAATTTTGGGCAAAAAAAACAAAACGTATGGAGTTCTTTTGATTCTTGCAAAACTTTGCTGGCACAGATAGGCAGAACATCTGTGTCTGTTTGTTGATGTTATGAGACTGTTTCTCAACCTACGTCGTCCATATCTTGTTTGGTGAATTATCTGACTCATAACCACAGGCTGGCATTACCTGCAACAACAACAATCAATATTTCAATACCATGAAAATGTATTTTAAAAAGTCATTATTCCGATTTTCTGATGATTTTCCTTTAGTGTTCAGTCGCAAGGGTGTCAATCATCCATCTGGGTGAATAAACCAAAGCGCAATAGCAAACACTCCAGAGTTCAGATAAACTTCTCTAAACCTCCAAACTCCGTAGTTTCTATTCATGCGTTCAAAGTGCCAGTGAACGTGTGAAGCTGAACAGCAGTGGAGGAACCGTTGAGGTCGGCTGCCGAGGGGGAACAGGAAGAAAAAGCACTCTTTGTCTGGCGGTTTCAGTTTCCTGGGCCGGACTTTTTATTGCCTGCGCTGCAGCTCGGACAGCGGTTTACCTGAGACCTTTAGATCTGCTCGGGGGTTGTGTGTTTTGCGCGTGTTGATTCGGGGAGGCGGTGTGTGCTTGAAGATCAGCACTGAGCTTTAAGCACACACTTTGCTCTTTGCACTGAAAGGGAATTGGTTAGCCACATACACACACACACACCTGGCAGCTGTGTGTCATACCATCACAGCTGTTAAATTTCAATAGATGTTTGGCCCATAAGTACTTAGATACACATTCATATACACACAGTTGGGAGATCCTAAACACTTCAGAGCTTTCTGCCGTATCACGCAGACTTAATGGTGATGGATCAGCTGATTGGTGATTCTGAATCTATAAAACCTCCTTGACATGTGTGTGCTGATGTTTCCCGAACACTTTTACAGTTACAATCTTTCTCTGAGTTTTTAAAATGTGGTGTTTTTTTCGAGTTTTGTATGCTGTTCTTCGAAAAAGATGCTCGAATCAGTCAAAATCGATTTATGGTTAAAGATGGAAATAATAAAATATCTACAGTTATACGCAAAGTCTTTGTCAGTGGAGCGAAATGGGATTTTCCGTAGAGGTAGTGCATTGATCATAGGCCTATGGACGTAAATATGCACTGTGTTAACATAAAATTATTGAATTGGAGTAAATTTAGGAGCAGCAGATACAGAAATAGTTTTTCTGGTCTCAAAACACAGATATTCTTGCAGTGTAATAGGGTGAAAACTACGCATTTTGTTTGGCCCATGACTCCCTCTAACTTTATGTATATGGCCCACCTTTATAGACGATGTACAGTGAGGCTATCTTCACCTAATATGGATGTAAACACCCTTAAATGAAGGCCTAAAGTTAGAACTTAAACCTCCTAGTGATTGTCCTGCTACTCATACTGTATCTTTATATGTTACAATGAGATAATACAGGCTTAATATGGCTTGTATGTCTTGTACCCCATCCGGCCACTGTCATGCTGTCATTGGGAAAGATTCAACAGTAATATTGTCCTGCGATGTGATGCATCAGGGGGTTTCCGTCACACAGCTGTGCAAGTTTCTATTTCAGTTTTTCTGGTCAGTCAACTGTTCCAAGGTGGCCTTCCTTCTTCTTTGTAACAGACAACAGACACAGATAAGAGGTCTGCAAACTCAGAAAAGACACATTCTTAGAAAATCCTTTTTTCAAAAGACAACATCACTGGGTTGTAAAGTGTTTTGTGGCCTCTGTAGGGACTTCCAGGCTCCGTAGCCTCCCAGAAAGGCTCTTAGGGATGGGGGGACATGTCAGAAATTGAGGTTTCTCTAGTCTAGCAGCTTCCGTGATCTCGTCAGAAAAGCCCAGGAGATTATCCTCTCATGTAGGTCAGAGTCCCACCCCATCACCTCCCCGTCATTACTGACAAGCTGTCATCTAGCTTGTTATTACAGTTAATCAGTAGTCGATCTGGCCGTCTGCTCTGCAGCCACATCACAGAATTACAAATCTCAAAAATGAATGCCGCTTTAAATCCCTGTTGAACCCAGACATTGTTTTACGTCTGTGTCTGTGTGTCCAGGGAGGAAATGTGTTTGAATGGGTCTGGTATGTGCCTCCCTTCCTGACAAACAGCTGCTCTCCGATTAGCATCTCTGGCTCACAAACTTCAGTTCACGATGGAGAACTTAAAGAAACTTAACAAAACTAATTTTGTGTGGTGAGAGGGTTCAAAGCCTTAATGTACTTTTACACTCTTCAATTTAGATCAGTGGTTTTCAACCTGGGGGTCCCGACCCCCAATGGGTCGAGAGATAATGCGAGATGAATTACGATATTTACAGATTAATGGTTTTCACATTGCATCGCCTGTACCAGTGGTATTATTTGCCTCGGAATAGATTTTGTAGAGTGTGTTTGTGTGAGTAAAACATATTCAACAAAATCTAATGTGGAGGGTCTCGGATACCAACCTGATCATTCTTAGGAAAGTAAATGCACCAAAGTTTAATAAGTCATTTCTTACTGTTGTTGTTTCCTACATGGAGTTTCTCAGCATATTAAGAGTACTCTTGTCATGACAATTACGATGTAAAGAGAAGTAAATGTGACCTGCGGAATGTATAAGCTTTACGTGCAGCAGCTTCTCATGTTGGTGGCTTCATGTTGCAGTCATAAGAAATTGTTTGGATAAAGAATTCCGGTAACTCTGCTGACAGAGAAAGATTACATGTCACTGTTTCATTCAGCATTTCCTCTGCGTGGAGGAAGTGACCTCATCTTACACAAGAGTTTATTTGGGCAAACAAGAGTGAATCTACATGGATCTCATTCACAGGGTTCCCTTTTCTGTTTCCACTCTTTACTGTTTTCCAAATATGTTTTTGTTTTGTATTTTTCGGGGGGGGGGGGGGGGGGGGGGG